AATATCAATTTTGCTGAAGTCATAATAACCTCTTTATGACAAAATATGATGATAAGAAAAACTTTTGAATTTTAGCAATTTAAATAAAATAGTTTCTAACGAATATACTCTTTTTTTTAAAATAATATTTAAACTGGAAATAAGCTTGCTGGCGATGAGCGATCTAAGTTATAGTTTGGAGTTTGGTTCTAGAAATATTTCTTGGTTGGTTAGACATATATAATAATACTTTAAATTGGTGAATTTTATTTATTTGTTCACATTATATATAAGTGCTCTCAAGAAAAAAAACTACAAATCTTACCTAGTAAGATTTACAGGTTTTTTCTTGGTGGCACTTTTATACATCCAAATATGTATGTTGGTTATCAAATGAAATTCATTCAATTTGATTTTTTTTTTAAGCTGAAATTTAATATAATAATCTGTCTTATTTCACTTTTTTATCCTTGTATTATTCTTCAAGAACCAATTATTAGTATATTAGGAAAGTATTATTATTATAAATATCCTGATTTTTTATATACACAAATATAACAGAAAGTATTATAGGTTTAAACACAGCCAGAATATTATCCTTTAATCACAACTCGGGTAGTTATTACAAAAATTTGTATTGAAAAAAAAACTATTCTAATGGATAAAATTCAAACCATTATATCAAATCCTTGAATATCATCATCTTGTTGCTTGCGAAATAGATGATGTAAATGTGATTAAGATCAGGTAAATAAATTGGCCTGGTCTTTATTTTAATTATAATTTTTATCATTATGTTTATTGTCATGTTTATTGTCAATTTTATTATTTTCACAATTGACTTTATCATCACTGTTGCTTTCATTACTTTTTTTAGTTTCATTATTATTCTTCCAATGGTTTTCAACTTTTTACGATTTCTATAAGTTAAACAAAAATTGTGAGCTTTTATAAAGAATAATTCATTTTTTTTTAATACTAGTATGTTTTTATTACTTATACAATTCCAAATTAAAAAAGTACCAATTTTTTTTAATTTGGACTAGAATCAGACGTATCTTACTGAAGTTCTTTAATATTCACTACTCATTTTTGTGAATCACATGATTATATAGTTTTTATACTCTACCTTAATGCTTGCGGATTATAAACCTATCGTCTTGTTTATATGCATTAGAGAAAAGTAGTTTAATTATACGATTATAACTAATACCATAAGTGTGAATAAAATATAGTCAATATGTATCATAAAAATGAAAACACTTTTGATGCTTTAAAAAATTTGCATCACCGGTATTATTAGTTATAAAATATTAATATCTGAAATTGAAAAAGCTCGAGTATTTAAATTTCACACAGATATTTTTAGACTTTTTAAGCATTGCAATAAAAATTTACAGACAGTATTATTAAATAAAATCAATACATTACCTTAGTACAAATTTAGATTTTTAATAAATAATATAGAACAAGTAATCAATTACAATTTAATAATTGTCTTACGTAGTAGAATTTATTTAAGCTATAGCATTTATTTAATATTTGTTATTAAATTGTGCATACAAGTTATTTTACCTATTTTGCTTTTCACATTCTAAAAAACTATTTAATACATCAGAAGAATCATAATCCAAATCTTCAGATAAAACAGCTTGGGCCATTTCTGCTACAGAGGATTCTGAATGTTCTTCAATTTCCAAGTCAATGATTTCATTAATTAATAAGATTGTAGAACTATTAAATATATCTGACGAAGTTTCATTATCCCTTATTTGATCCTCCTCATAACTCATAATATTACTAACTAAATATATATTATATGCATTTTGAAGATCAGCTTCTGTTAATTCTTTATCAAAAAAATTTAGCTCACGTTGGATATTTGTCATATAATATGACCTAATTTTAGACATTCCCTCTAGCCTGTTTATATTCAAATTAGTGTGATGATTTTCTAAAATCTACTTTAACAATGAGAAGTTCCTTTCGCAACCCGCTTGTGTAGGATTAATTGAAAAAATTCTATAGGCTAACTCAGCTAAATGTTAAGGTGGGTTTTTAAAAGACCCTACTAAATTTTTGGAGTATCTATACCTGAAACATAAGAAAGATCAAATAGTGATAATTGTGCATCAAATTGTCGCATTTGCACAATTAGTTCTTTATCTTCTGACCGAGTATGCTTATAATTTTGCCAGAGCTCAAGAGATATAAGAGCTGCTTTATACAAGTCACTCTCGTTATAGTGAAGTTGTTAGGCTGAAGAATTTTCTTCACTATATTGAGTTATTTACTATATCAAAAACTCTTAATATAGTAAAGTTTATATTTAAAATAAAAAAATCATCATTATATTGAGAGACTTTTATATTAAAAATTTTAATATAATGAAGTTTATATATAAATTTAAAAATCTTCACTATATCGAAAGAATATTTAAATTGATATAATTGGTTAAAAATTATTTTATATATAAATCTTCACTATATCAAGAGTAAATTTATTATAAATGTACTGTATTTTTTAAAAAAAATCTTCATTATATCTTATATCGAGAGTTTATTATTAAAACTTTATTATATCGAGTGAAATATTAATAGTTTTGATTTTGTTCTTAAAAAAATCTTTACTATAAGCCAATCTTTACTATAAGCCAATCTTCACTATATCAAAGGTTTACTATAACGAGAGTGACTTGTAAAACCCATTGTCTTTTAGACCTTTTCCTAAAAAATTATAATTTTTTAAAATTATATACTGTATATATATAAATAAAAAATTAAAGTATATATTAACTAAAATAGAATAGTTTTATTATTGTATATATATTATAAATAATAATAAACTATAGTGTACTAACCAAAGTACCTCCTTTTTGCGTATTCCCATTCAAAATACCCGGATACGTACTAACCAAAGTACCCCTTTTTGTGTATCTCCATTCAAAATATCTGAGTACTTTGTATAATATTTTTTTTAATTGTCAGGTATTTTGCATAGAATATTGATTTTTGCATTACATGTATAAGACCGTACAAGGTTATACAAGACACTCATCATTGATCAAGATACCCACAGGTACTTTATAAGTTTTTTTTGGTTAGATTATATTGGACTCCAGGTGCTTTGGTCAGTGCACTACAGTACGTATATAGCTAATAGTATAAAAATATAGTAATCTACCAAACTAGTTTGCTTTATATATACTGTAATATATAATTGTACTGTATCTCTATACTGTAAATAAATATAATATGCCAAAATATAAAGTGGATGTAAGAATTCTTTATATCGTTGATTAAAAATATAAATTGCGGAGGTCTTAAATGTATTTATTTCAGGCAAGCGTTTAATAGCTACAGCCAACTTGATTAGATATACAAAGCAATTGGCTAATGTTGCTTTATTAGCTTCTAATGCATAGATTACTTCTTTTATAAATAGAATGCACTTGTTGATATGTAATAAAAAAATCCTTATTAGCCATTAAATTGGCTATTTCTTGATTCGTAATTGCCTCATTATGCTCAAAAAGTAACTAAAAATAGTTTATTTTTATTAATATATACATAATAATTATAAAGATATTTAATAATTTATACTTACCCAATCAAAAATGGGCTATGCACAAAGCATTGAATCTGTAGTAAAATATAAAGACCCTCAATGAGTTTTTATCTATGTTTTTAGCCACCACCTTTAATTTTCATATTCATAAATCCTTTAGTAAACAATGAATAACTTGAATGAGAAGTATTAAAAAAATGATTAATTTTTTCACAATCAGCAATTAGTTTTTTTAATTGGTCTAATTTAACTAAATCAGTAGCAATAAGGTTAATCACATGAGCTGCACATTGAACATTCCAAATATGCAGATACATTTCTTGTATTTTTTGATATGCTAGGTTACAATTTGAAGCCGTATCTGTAACAATAGCTGCGAACTTATCTGAACCAAGTTTTTCAATAATCGTTAATATTTCATTTGCTAAAAATTCACCCGTCTGAAAATACAAAGAATAATTTTTTAAACTAACTAAATACTCTTTTCATATATCTGTTGTAATAATATAATTATATATTGACTCTAATGTTGGTGATGTCCAGCCATCTAAAGCTTTATTAAATAATAATAAATTATTATATATTTAAATGAATAAATAATTTAATATGTAATATGCATCTGTATATTACTTTGATCATCCGCATTATTTTATACATGTATGCATAATTTTTGAAATATATACATAGTACTCACAAAAAATGATCTTTGCTCAAAAAGCAGTCTTAATACATCATTACATATACAGTAATACCCTCAGTCTTTTATAAGAAAACTAAGATTAATTACATAATACCTCCTAGAGTACGTGAAAAGGGGATATTATACAAGAAGATATGCTAAAGAGAGTATTGGTGATGATCATTAATTCGAATCATTAATATAACATGATTATTGATTCAAATCATAGTATTAGAATACTTTTCAAAAATAATAGAATCTATAATTAAATAGTATTTAAAGGAGATATTTTTTTAAGAGGGTACTATATGCAGTACTATATGGTAGTGGTATCAAATATAAAAAAATATATACTAATCTAGGGTTAAATGAACAGCTTTATTGATATCTCTATCAATAGCACAATTTACTCATACTATTTCCTCATTTAGTAATCAGCCTAATAAAGTTGTTCTCGATGGCGGATTATATACAGGTAAAAATTCTTTAAACATATCTTTAATAAATAGATTTTCGATAACTTCAAAAGGAATTCCTGCCATTACCTAAGCTTTAATTATTTTTTTATCAAGTCGATTAATTGCAGCTTTTGGTAATGAATGATCAGATAAAAAATGATATATTATTGCTGTTTGATTTGGTAAGGCTTTTTTTTTTGCGTATAGTTGGAATTTCTTTCTGCTACTTTTTCACACCAATATCGTGATATATTTTCAGGACAATTAGGACATACATTTGCCAAATGCAATTCTAATGTTGCTAGTTTTTCCCTTGCCTAAGATTTTTTAGAAATATAATAATAACAAGTAGCTTCATAATGCTTGTGACTTTTTTCTGCTCCTCTAAGATAATAATCCCATATTTCAGCAAACTGTCTAGATTTTTTTTTAGTTGAAGATTGTCAGTTAGAACTATTGGTTGCATATTCTTCATATTCTTTTTCTGATTCCAAACTATTTTCGGTTTCTTCTACCAAATCTACATTTCTTTTTCTTGAATTTTCTTTGTTTGTCTCCATAGCTAAAAATTTGCTGCTATTGACAAATAGACAAACATATGTATAAACATAAATTATATATATATGTGGATCTTTTAAACTATTAGTTCTCATATGCAAGATGTTTAAGAAATGCTATATTAGTATAATATATTAGAATTGCCAAGTTAAATTATGTCAGAAATCTAAAAAAATTAGATATTGTATATTTAAAGATATATGAATCACTATTAATTACTTTAATAGTACTATAATTTCAGTAAATAGTGCTTTGAATCTTATATTTCTTTAAAAATTAATTAGTATCTAGAATTGACACGATGGGCAGATACTTTAACAAGAGAGTATTACTTGCCAAAAATTATAGTGTGTGTTATTTGGATAATATTTATATATTTATGTTACTTCTCTAATATCTGTTCAAGAATTGATCTGATACAGGATCAATGATTTACTATAATCACAAAAAACAGCAGTTTAAATAATAATACAAAATAATATATAAAGTTTTCTAGCGATATTCCAAATTTAGTATGCCTGTATATACGTATTATCATTGTTTGTAGTTTATGCATGAGATAAAAGGGTCTGAAATTATATTTTAGATTCAAGGTCCAAAACCGTAGTTTTCCAAACAAGTATTCCTTAAATTACTTGTTATTTAAACAAACTTTAATCTAAAATAAGTATTTCCTAAATTACGATTTTTTAAAGCAATTAAGCATGTTATATTTCGCTGTTCAAAATTTTTTTAATAAACTAAACTAACTTTATTATCACTAAATTTTGCAGAAAAAACAATGCATTATATCGCAATTTTAATCACATACAGAATTTGTTTAGAAAATCATGACCAGAGTAAAATCGCTACCCAAAAAGTTTCGTAATGAACAAAAAATGCAAAAAAAATTTATAGACTAACAAAATAATAACGATAAACAATAAATTAATAAACTCAATGAACGTAATATTTATTACAGCCAAAAAGTATTATAATTACGGTTTTTTCTAAGTATTTGAAGATTCTATTGCACTTTAAAATGATTATAATCCTCCTCCAATTTATGCAATGGCTCAAAGTTTTTGTTAATACTATTGACCATTTATTACTATTTGGATTCATTATGTTTTTTTAAATAATATTTTTTCTGGATTCAGAACTATGAATTTTTTTGCTCAAATAAATAATCAGAGTTATAGTCTTCTAGAAGAGCATTAAAAATAAAATCTAAAAGTTTTCTGGTACAATTGCATTTTCTTGATTAGTTTTTATAACTTTATTTCGATTTATATTCTTTTTGTTCATTTATTATTAGATTACGGCAATTAATGTATATTTTTAGAATGTGCTTATTGGATTTTTTGCTTTTAAAAGAATCACTTGGTTTGTCGAGATTGCAATGATCATTTTTTATTTTAAAAAATCAAAGAAAAAAATCATTTACTAAATCAATAATATTTTACTAAATATTATATTATCATGATAATGAATTAACAATATCACACGATTTTTTGGATGATGATTTTGGCAATATTTCAAGTTTTAATTCTAGCCAATTAGAAGATAGGGCATAATACAAAAATTGAGCTTTTATTTTTTATTTATGAAAAGTTTCATTAATTTCAAATTATTGGCTAAGAACTACTTTTTGTGTACTATTAAAAATTTTTTGCAAAAATTAGTAAATTCTCACTCATCGATACAATACTTTTATACAAATATATTTGAGTTCAAATCAGGTTGAACTAGGCTTTTAAAATCTAGTTCTAAACTGGTCCAAACCTGTTCAATAATCATATAACAAATCAAATGCTGGTTTTTGCTTTAAACTTTATTAATTGGGCCATAAAAAGTTTTAAATTACGGGCTTGGGTTACTAATGCCAATTTAGAACAAATTTTTAAGAACCGGTTCAGAAGCAGAATGAATAATATATACTGTATTCATCGTTAAATATAATGCGTGGCATTTTATACATACATACGTACTTATTAAGTATATAAAATACGTATAGCACTTATACGAACCATGACATACCTCACTTTAATAACATACAGCACTTATATGATATATAGCACCAATATGGTATATGATACCAATACAGCATATAGCACCCAATACGGCATACGGCATCTAATACATTATATAGCATCTAATATGTCATATGGCATCTAATATAGCATACATTATTTAATATAGCATATGTCATCTAATATAACATATAGCATATTTATTTATATAGCAAATATACCGCATTGCCATCATATTTTTAGTAAAGTAGCTACCTTGGTATTTTTAAATATTTGCATCCCTAGTAATTACTAACCTGAATTGTGCAAGCCTGATCCTGCGCCAACAATTGGTATCTCAACTAAACAGACCACAATACGTGACTAATTTTTCACAATAGAACCTACTACTTTCATATTATTAATTATAAGTTAAGATGAGGTACTATCGGTGCCCCTATTGCATTACTTGTGCCAATTTTGGTCAAATTCTTTAATATATATCAAATAATATCAAAAAGGATTGCACGTAAGTTTATATCAGGATAATCGGTATGGTATCGAATTGAATTTTATTTGATAAATGTAGTTTACATTAGTTGTGATTTATTATAGTTAGTATTAAAGTAATTAATATTGCGCCAGTGATCACTATAAGCAGTTGAGCTATATAGTTTAAATGAAGGCTTCCTATCAACATGATTATGTGATATTTATATGAAAATAGTTGCAAATTTGAGGCTAGCTAGAGCTGAATTGGCGATAGCATGTGTAGAATTACAACTGTGCTTTCCAATAAATTAGTTACTTAGAATCATAGTCCTCCTGTAATCTTGATTAGATGGGATCGGTCTTGTTCCTGTTGCTATTTTTACAGAGCATATTACCCTGCTTAGCACCTTTTTTGATTTGTTGATTTTTGTTAACTCGAATGAAATTACACAGATTGGTATGGTATATGTGAGCAGATCTTTATAGTACCTAAATATTCAAATAAGTTATTCTAGTTTTGTTTACTATCTTAGACTGTAAATATAATGAGAATTTAGCTATTCAAGTTCATAATATTTACTATTTATATGCACAAATAGTTCATTAATATAATAATTTGAGTATTTAAATCAGATATCCAAGTTCATAAATATTTACCACTTAATGTTCATTTTATTCGCATTAATTTAGTGCATGAGAATAAAGATCATTTACAATAAAAGTTCATATACAAGATTCCCAAAAATAGTAAACCACCATGAATTAGACCTGGGTATGAACCACAGAATCTTTATTAATTAAATGTGGTTTTTGTTAAATAGCAAGAATACCTATTATAAATATAAGATGTGCAAGTATTTTAATTTTTTTTTTATATCATAAGCTCTGGGCAAATACTAGACCACAGGTCTACTACAGGGTTTAAAAATTAGAGTAATGTACAAGATCTGGGTTCTGTATATAAATTTTTATAGTATCAATCTAAGTATTTAGGTTTATGAATATTTACTATAGCAATAATAAAATAATGTGTATTATATGCAAAAACTCAAAAATCAATTTCTTATTAAAGTCTTATTTACAAAGTCTAGACTAAAAATATTGAACTTTTAACAGCTCTTGCTTCATGCTCAACGGTACAGGTTTTCACTAGTATTAAAAGAAAAAATAGTTGGTATTACAGTGCAAGCAGATGGGATTAGACGGATATTAAAAGATAGGGAAAAAAAGTTGCTGAAGTAAGGTCGAAAATAGACTCAGGTTGGAGCAAGAGACTCCAAGAGCAAAAAAGAAACCAACAAAGACAGCACAACAAAGAAGCCCTGAAATCTTTAGTACAACAATTCGAAGATTCAGTCAAGACTATCACAACAAACCAGCTTAAGGAAAAAAAGAAAATTCAAGAAACAAGAAAAAGAAAGTGGCAAGCTCTGTAAAGAGAAAAACAAGCTACTGAAATAAAGTCGAAGTTAGAGTCAAATTAGAGCAAGAAACTCCAGAAACAAAAAGAAATTTAGCAAAAGCAAAACAACAAATTAGCATTAAAAATTCTGGCTATAAACTTCAAAGTATCTACTGAATTTGACTTAACAAATCAAGAAAAAATAAGAAGAAAATCAAGAAAAAGAAAAGAACAAAGAAACAGGAAACAAAACTCTGAAGTTATTAAAAAAACAAAATCTATAAAAGAGGGTCAAGAAGAGTTAAGATCAAAAACTAAACTAATGACCCCAGTAGA